CCTCAAGGACGAGTGCCTCATTGACTTCAAGCAGCGGCTCATCGACAAGGCCAACCTCATCCAGGCCCGTTTCGAGAGGGTACGGCCAGGGCCCCGGGTAGAGGAGAGAGGACCTTGGCACCCTCACCTTGAAAATGGGCACACAGACTTGTGAGGGTCCAATTGCCTGGAACTTCCTTACCCTTGCTCATTGGACGGAAGGGTGGATGAAGGGATGGATGGGTGGGTGAGTGGTGGGAGAATGGATGGGTGATGGACGAACAGGAGGATAGATGCATGGCTAGGTGGAGGGATGAGTAGATGAATGAATGGGTGGGTGGTTGGATGGATGGAAGGATGGTGCATTGTAACAACCTCCAGTCCTTGATGCATGTCTACTGGTTGGGAGGATACCATGCAGCTCCTATGGATTATCTCGTTTAACTTTCACAAAGAGCTCTGAGTGGTGGTGGTGGTGAGTGTGTATAACGACGCTCATTTGACAGACAGAAAACTGGAAGCTCTGAAAGGGTAACTTTTCCGGAGCCGCGTGGCTGTCTCCGTCTCAAACTCTGCTCTGACCCCGTGGGCCTGATATCCCTCTCAACACAACCCCAGCGGCCCCCACTCAAGGCATTTTCTGGCCCCGCCTCCGCTCCTCTGGCTTCTGGGGACGGCGGCGATTGCGGAGTTCAAGCCTCCTGGGTTCTCTGGTGACGGGGTGTCTCAGCCTAAGACCCCGGGGGAGGGCCAGCCCGCATCACCCCTCCCGCGCTCTCCTCTCCCTGCCCGCAGGAGACCCAGGAGCTGCAGAAGAAACAGCAGTGGTACCAGGAGAACCAGGTGACCCTGACCACCGAGGACGAAGACCTGTACCTGAGCTACTGCTCTCAGGCCATGTTCCGCATTCGGATCCTGGAGCAGCGGCTCAATCGGTGAGGGGCGGGTGGGGTGGGGGGACCGGGGAGCCCGGGGGGGACCCGCCAGGAAGCCGGAGCGCCAGCTTCGTGACCCCACCGCCACCTCTCGCTCCCCGCTCCGGTTTCAGACACAAGGAGCTGGCCCCGCTGAAGTACCTGGCGCTGGAGGAAAAGCTCTACAAGGACCCTCGCCTGGTGGAGCACCTGAAAGTCTTTTCTTGATGCCCCTCCTGGGGCCGCAGCCTAAGCTGGCAGAGAGAGAAACCCCCCTCACCCCCCCAGTGTGTCCTACAACCGGCTAATGACCTCGGCTTCAGGTGCCTGGCCTCACCGCCGCTCCGCCTCCCTGCAGCCCCACCTGTTCCTGCCTCTCGTGATTTTTCTGTAAATAAACACACTTGTGATTTGCAATCTATACCTCCTTTCGCAAGCTCCGGCGCCAGCCTCTCTCGCCTTCCCCTCTTTATCTATAGCCCGGGACCCACTTCTTCTACCCACGGTGGCCACCTTCCTCCTCAACTTCCCGCCCTTTCTATTGGAATGCTGGGCCTTTGCAACCCCTCTGCAGGTGGCCTCAAGAAGCATCTAGCCTAACATGCCCATGATACTGAGGGTGAGACCCCCGCTTGGGCTCAGCGGAAACGAACAAACTACAGCCACATGAATGATAAGGTTGCATTTCTCAGGGGGACTTCTGCTGAGGACTGGTCATATCCTTCTTGACCTGAGTATGCTCAGATGGTGAAAATTCACTGACCTCGTACCCTTACAGTATATGGGGAATGTATATTATGCTTCATTATAAAGTGTTGCAAAATGGTGATCTTGAGTCCAATCATGCTTTAACTTCCGTTTAACAAGAAATTCAGAGGAAAAGGAACAAGGTAAATGACAGACAGAATTATAATGTGCGACAGTCTACAAGGTAAATGGCCCAATCTCTTAAAAAGATCAATGTCGTTAAAAAAGAGGAGATGGGGGCAGGGATGAAATAGGATGAGCTTAGAAGGGCCAAGTGCCGAATCTTGTGGTTTCCTAATTAGGAAAGATGTTATTAAAAATATTTTTGGGAAGATTATGAAAATCTGCCCTGGAGAACAATTGTTCGTTTTATTGGGTGTGATGATACAATGATTCCGTAGAAGGCTCTGATTTTTAAGAATTACATGCTCAATAGCATTCAGTGTCAGGGTGAAATGTCTTGATGGCTACAACGTGCAAATGGTTCAGAAAACACACATGGATAAAGCCAGTACAGCAAAACATTAGCAAGTGTTGAAATCCACACGGTAAGTATATGGGTCATCATATGATTAAAATACAGAGTGGCCAGATTATTATGATCTCTGAACGCATAATAATCTGGCCACTGTGTGTGTGTGTGTGTGTGTGTATGTAACCTGGTGCATGAATTTGTGCATGGGTGGGGTCCAGCCAGCCTGGCCAGTGGGAGGGGACTGGCCTGCCTGCTGGTCGAACTCCTGGTCAAGGGGACAATTTGCATATTAGCCTTTTATTATATAGGATAGACACTGAGTGGCCCGATTATCATGCGTTTAGAGATCATCATCATCTGGCCTTTCTGTGTATTATACTACTATATCATTCTGGTATTATTTCCAGTTTCCTCTACATTGTTTTCAATTAAAAAGTTGAGCAGTACAGACAGGGTGGGCGGTTTTGATGGGATTTTATTCTGCTGATCGGGTCCTCTCTTGACAGTGCCCACAGGCCTCTGCAGTCGGCTCACCCAGGCACAATGTGATGGGTGGACACGCCGCTGAGTCCGGCAGCGCTGGTGCGGTGCAGCGGAGATTAAGTCCACCCCCACCCATCCACCCACGAATCACAAATGAAGCCGTCGTTTCTCGGATTCCTCGTCGGTCATCGCGTTTAGAAAGCGGCCATCCATCCACCCACCCAGACGTCGGCCGTGGAGGCAGCAACCCCGGGCTCCACGCCTGACTCGGACCCAGAACCAGGAAGTCTCAGTTCCTTTCCCGGTCTCCCGTGGGAGATCCAAGGCGGTGTTCGAGCCCAAGAAGAGAGACAGGTCCTCAGACCGCGGAGCCGCCCGCAGGTAAAGGGAACGAGCAGGAACCCCTGCAAAAAGCTGACTAACTATACCTCCTTGCTTTGCCCGACTCCAAGATGGAAGCTCCGCGGCTTCACTGGGTTCCGGAAGTCCACTTCCCATTGGCTAGCTGGGAATTGGTTTTTCCAGTAACGCGAACGCTGATTGGCCGAGCTGGGACGGTTGCTAAAGCGATTGGTGCAGCCGCCATTGGAGGGCGTCCCGCAAATTTTTTCAAACGCTAACGAGGTTCGAGGGAGCGTAGGCGAGGCGGATGAAAGGGAAAGTTTGAGGCGAAGGCGGGACCAAGGAAACGGAAGCCCGCATTGGTTCATCAGGGGCCGAGGGGTGGCCCTTGCACTCTTCTTCCTCGTGATTAGCCCAATTCAGGAAGAGAGGGCGGGAACGTAGGAAAAGCGGCAGAAGTGCCTTCTTGGATTGGCCGAAGCTGGCGGGAGGCGGAGCTCCCGCGGCAGCTGATTGGTGGGGGAGTCGGGGAGGGGCGGGGCTCCGAGCCGGAGGTTTTGTTGTGAGGGTCGGTTGTCAAGCAGCGGCCAATCAGGGCAGGGGATGGAGGCAAGTGGGGGTCGCCCGTGGAGCAGAGCCTTGGCCTCGGGAGCCGCAGCTGCAGGTGGAGTGGGCCGGGGGGCGAGGAGGCTAGGGGACGGACGGTGGGCCCCGGGCCGGGCCGAGCCAGGCGGGGCCGGGCCGGGCCGGGCTGCGGCGGAGAGGGCTGCGGGCGCGGGGAGGTGGGAGCCCTTCCCCGCCGACCGGCGGAGCGGAGTGGGAGGACCCGGGGAGGCCGAGGGACCAGCCTTCGCCTCGGGAGGGGCGGGCCCGGCGTGGAGGCCTGAGGGCAAAGCCGGGGGAGGCCGGAAGCTGAGCCGGGGGTCCGCGGGAGGCTGGGGGGTGACTAGGGACGCAGGAAGCAGCAGAGTGAATGAATGGGGATCCTGGTAGCCGAGGGGAACGCGGAGTAAAGGGGGGTCTGGCGGGGCCGGGCCAAGTTAGGGAGCTCAGCAGACAAATGTGTGTGAATGGGGGACGCGGGAGGCGGGGAGAAGGAGTGGAGGGCGAGAGGGACAGGACGGGGGGGACCCAGGGGCGAAGGGGTGGGAAAGAGAGGTTTCCTGGGGAAAGTGCTTGGAGGAAGTAGGTCGGAAGCACCTTAAGGTGGCCTTTTAGGGTGGAGGAGTCATACGGCTCATGCCCCGGCTGGAGACCTAGTTCCCAGCACCGTCCTTGGGAATTTGAGGGACCAGGATTAGTTCCTTGGGCACAAACTAGGGGGGGGGGGGGGGGGCGGGGTTGGATCCTCAGGGCCCTGTTTGACATTCTCCCCAGAGACTTCAGCACCTGTGTGTGTGTGTGTGGGGGGGGGTGTGCCTCGACTCCACCCCCTCTCCATAGGTCCGACCACACAGTGACTCTCAGAAATCTGTCTGATCTACAGACATAGGTTCTTCCCCGCCTGGTGGCAGCTGCTGCTGCTACTGCTGCACCTCAGGCAGCCAGCTGCTCCCCTCATCCTGGTCTCTGGGAGGACCTTCCCCTGTGTCCCCAGTTCACCTTGTCTGAGGTGCTCCCTCTCCTGCCTCTCAACCCCAATTTGCAGTGCAGCTCCTGGCTTTGGTAGGTGTCTGTCTGTCTGTCTTTATCAAGTGGCCTCAGGGATGCAGGGAGCTGCAGTTTGCAAATCAGGGTGTCCCCCCTTCCCCCGCCCCCCCCCAAGCTCTCACCAGTGTTTCCTAAAAAGCCATCGCCTCTGTTTGCGTTCCAGCCCAGTGTTGAGCTGAGATGGCTCGAGCCTGACATTCCATGACCCAAGATCCGGACGGGCGTGAACAGGCTGCTCCTGTGGATGATTTGAAACCGAGAGCTGGTCCCAGAGAAAGGCATTCCCTCTGCCTGGATGTGTGGGAACTCCCTGCCGATTTGATTGGCGGGTCTGGGGGGGATCCACCCCCACCCCTGGAGCAAAGCAGTCTGTTTTGTGGGTGGAGCTTCAAGTGCCAGACAGCTGGAGGATGGCCACCCCTGTGGTCACCAAGACAGCCTGGAAACTCCGTGAGTGCTTCTCCTGCTTTCTTTCTTGCCCCATATATCCTACCGGCTGGGGGGGAGCCTGAACCCCCAGCTTTGTCTTCTACTCTTGGCACAAGGGGAGACCCCCCAGGCCTGGGATAAGATCGAGATGCAGATCCTGACCTTGGCGCTTTGCTGGGTGACATTGGCCAGGGGACTTAGTTTCCTGTCTGCACCATGAGACAGTCGCGTCTACATTGTAGAGATTCAAGTGAGAAAACAAATGTAATAAAGCGCTTAGGGCAAGATTTCCAGTTAGGCTGACAGGCGGAACGGGGCGAGATTTCTGAAAGATATTCTTGACATTTTCAGGCATCTCACAAGCCAAGTTTCCGCCATCAGCTGAGGGCATCCTGGGGCAGGGGGCAGGGTGAGAGGATAGGCAGAGGGACATTGACAGGGCTCTGCAATGCACCTGAGCGTGAGCACAGCCCACTGCAGTCATTCCTCCCTATGGCAGTGGTCGGCAAACTCATTAGTCAGCAGAGCCACATATCAGCAGTACAACCATTGAGAGCCAAAAACTGACTTCTGCGTATGGCCAGAAGTTTCATTCGCCCTGTACGTGTGCGCCCACACGTGGTGTTTTGTGAAAGAGCCGCACTCAAGGGACCAAAGAGCCGCATGTGGCTCATAAGCCACAGTGCGCCAACCACTGCCCTGTGGCAGTGCCAGACTCTGATCCAAGGACCTCTTCGTACTCCAATTACGGAGGACCCCAGAGTCCTTGTCTATGGGAGTTCTAGCTATCAGTATTTACCGTGCCAGCCATACCGACACCTTTTCAAACGACAACACGCAAACAGGCCACTGGTGATGATGTCATCACACCACGCATCTTCTGGGAAACTAGATTCTTAGGCGCAAACAGAAGCCTAAGAGTCAAATACCATGTTAGTATTATCAGAAAAACAGTCTTGTTCTCTTGGACCCCCTGGAAGGTTCTCGAGGACCCCAAGGTGCCCCGGATCACATTTGAGGACCGCGGCCCTCCTCGTCGGTGTCTCTGTGGGTCCCACCCTCCCTCCACCCCCCTGTAGTAACTGGTTGGTATACTCCTGGTGCCCAGACTGGGAGACCTGTGCTGTGAACTGTGCACAGGCTGTTTTCAGAAGTTGGGGCAGGCCTTCGCTTTTTAACTGTGGGAACTTGGGCGCAGCTTTTTGCTGGGCTTCAGTGTTCTCGTTTGTAAAATGGGAGGTTTGGACCATTTTCAAATTGTTCCTCTTAGCCCGAGGGTTCTGGGAGAATCCTGTGACCGGCTCCCGAGGAAGGTACCCTTTGGACAGCGTGGCTGTCTGTCTGTTAGGGTTACGTACCTATGCCTTCAACAGCTGGTCTTTCCTGAGCACAGAACCAGGTATAAGGGAGGCCGTAGGGAGCAAAATAGGACCCCTGTGAAATGGGGTCCAGAGCCTGAGAGAACGCCAGGCAAGAGTCAGACGGCCACACCCTTCCGTCTCTCCTCGAAATTTCAGTGCTTTGAAGCAGATAACTCGGTGATGGAGGATGGGGTAGGGGAGCGTTGTAGGGGCCTAAATTGCATGTGCAAAGACCCTGAGGCAGCAGTTCGGTGCAGAACTCCGAGGAGGCCACGGCTGCAGCACAGCGTTGGGGAGAGTGTGGTGCCTCAGAGGCTGGTGAGGATCCCAGCCCTTCGGACGCTTTGCTTTATCTGAAAGGCAGGGCCACGCCATCCAGTGTTGAGGTGGGAGGTAACGAGCTCAGGCGTCTGACAGTTTCACGCGCACAGCACTTTAGCTGTGGGAGGCCTCCTAGTTACCCAGGGCGTCGGCCCGGTAGGGTTTTCCCTGTCTGAGTGGGGAGACCTGTCTTGTGTACTCCTCCCTCCCGGGAGGAACTCACTCAGGAATGAGCTGGGAGACCTGGGCGGCCTCCTGGTTCCTTGCCTGAGTTTTGTTCCCTTCGGAGCATTGATGCCCCTGGGGTTTTAGTCTGCTGCCCCCACTGCTGCCCCAGCCGTCCCGGCCAGGGGCCCTGTGGCTGCCCACAGTGATCTTATGTCCCTCTGACTGGTCAGCCCTCACTCCCACCCCCTCATACCCTCTTGCCCCCCTCCTCACACAGCCCACCCGGGCCCCATTGCTCGCTGTCTTCGTGGTGCCTAGTCCTTAGCCTGCCTCATAGCCACGGAGTACTCACTCCCTACCAGCAGCTCGCAGGTACCTTCTCACTGAATCCTCAGCAACTCCATGAGCCAGGCACTGTTATTATTTCTTTATTAAAAAATATTCTTATTGATTTTAGAGAGGAAGAGGGAGAGAAAGAGAAATATCAATGATTATAGAGAATCAGTGGTTGGCTGTCTCCTGCATGCCCCCTACTGGGGGTGAAATCCCCAACCCGGGCATGTGCCCTGACCTGGAACTGAACTCTGACCTCCTGGTTCATAGGTCAATGTTCTGGCACTGTTATTATTAACCCCACTTACCAGGCGAGGGACCCAGTCCTCAGAGAGGGTGAGTGACTTGCCTAAAGCCACACAGCCTGCAGCAGCAGAGCTCAGATCAGAACCGGGGCCATGACTGGAGCTGTGGGCAGCTTGTCTAGCGTTGACCAGGACGGCTCTTAAAGTTCTTTCCAAAGAGGGGTTTGTGTGCGCAGCGAGGGGCAGCCTGCGAGGTGCTTAGGTGCTACATAGCACAATACTTTTTATCCTAATAATTGTTTTCCTTTTTCTTTCCGTGTCATAGAAAAAACATAGTGGACATATGACACTTGTGATTCCGTTAATATTATTGCTTGCAAGACAGGATAAAAATAGCAAACCAATTTAAAAAAATGGAGCATAGTACGTCAGTAGTGTTACCAGTTGATGTGCAGAAAAGGGAAGAAAATCACGAGGCCTAGGGTGAGACAGGTGTCAGCGGAGTTGAGAAACAGTCATCTCTGTCTCAGGCCCAGGCCTGCTTGTCAGCAGGTGCCAGGAGGGGTGTCTGGGCACCAAAAAGGGGGGGCGGTGTCTGGGCACCAAGGGGCAGAGCCTTCGAGAGGGGCTGCTGGTGGCCGAGCAGGGCCAGGCCCTCCCCTCCTCCACTCGGCCCATTGCGCCCCCGACTGGCCTGACTGCCTTCCCCTCTGTCCTTTCCTGTACAGAGGAAATTGTCGCCCACGCCAGCAATGTGTCGTCCTTGGTGCTGGGCAAAGGCTCCGGGCGGCTGCTGGCGACAGGAGGGGACGACTGCCGCGTCAACCTGTGGTCCATCAACAAGCCCAACTGCATCATGGTGAGCCCGCCGGCGGGGGCGGGAGGAGGGCGGGAGGGACCGCGGCAGGATGGGTACGGTGGGAGAGGCGCCCTGTCCTCCGGTGCCCATCCCGAGGGGAGGGGGGAGGACACAGCACGACATCCACGCCTCCCCTAGCTGTCGGCTCAGGGAGTCCCAGGACAGCCGCAGAGGGCAGCGACAGCGGCCCCTCCTTGGGAACGGGGTGTCACCTGGTGCGGACAGCACGCCAGGGAGCCTGCCCCCCCTGCCCAGGGCCCATCCGCCCGCCCGCCCGCCCGGCAGCTGTGTGTGGGTGACCGATATATTTCCACCTCGTTCCCCTGGAAGGGTTTCAGGCGCCGGCCTGGAGTGGGCAGAGCGCTGATTCTCGATTAGACCTCCCCTGGCCGCATAGCTGCAGTCAGTGCTGAAAACTGTTCCCAAACAGGAAGCCATGCAGAGGGGAAAATACAAAAACGGAAGACACTCCGTCCCGTTATCCAAGACCACTGCGGTTGGTTGTTGGTCTGTGTCCTCGTAGCTGCTCATACACACAGACATACACGTGCACACACGTGCAGACTTGTGCATTTATGTCACACACACGTGCCAACACATACAGGTGCACACGCAGACATTAATAGTATGTTTCCAGAACGCTCTCACTGTCCTGTGGCCTGGTTTTTAAAAAACACAAAGAGGTAAGCATTTTCCTGTGTCAGAATAATCACCTTTAATGACATGATTTTAATGGCTTCGTGGTGTGCCATGGAGTGAGCTGGCATGGGCTGGGCTCCCGCCCTGTTCCCAGCATGGAGGTCACTTGCAGCCTCTGGCTCTGCTCAGCCACGTGGTGAACAGCCTCACCGGCTAAATCTGTGAGCAGATCTGTGATGGTTGCATTGAATCTGAGGGTGTTCACTTTTCACAAAGCTTCTAACCCCTGCTGTCAAACTGCCCTCCAGAAACCCATTTACCTTCCCACCGGGAGCACGGGCCTCGCTCTCTCCTCACACAGCCCCTGGCACGGAGTGGCATCGCACTCCTGACTCTTGGCCATATCAGGATAAAGAATGAACAGGACGGGAGGTGGTATTTGTTAGTAGAGACTTAGCTCATTGACTTGGAGATCCATCAGAGAACAGATCTGACCCAGACCGCAGCCAGGGGTCCGGACAGTGGCAGTTGAATTCAGAACAGAATTGAAATATTAATAGTTCGTTTTGTTTCCCTTTGTTTTTAAAGTTTAAATGCGCCCTGTCCCTGAATGACAGAGTAACGTACACAATTAGAAAACTCAGCAGAGACCAAAGATGAACATGGAGCGAGCCTAGGCTCTGGTCCTCAGACAAGCACAGGGGACAGTTTGGGGTCTAGACTTAGCTTCTCATACTGGTGAGGCCACAGGCCCCCGTGGGCCTCAGCTGAGCCATGCCCTTCCCCCTCACCTAACACACCCCATCCCCACCCCAGGCTCTCCACAGACCAGGCCTTGCAGGGCCTCTAACTTGCCAAGTTCTTTCCCACTCAGGTCTGTGCCTTATGGCTCCCTCTGCGGGCAGTCACTGTGGTCTGTGTCTGTGCATTTTGGAGTGTGTGACCTCCTGTCGTTCAATATGACACCCAGTGAACAGTGACACATCTTCCTTCCCCTTCCCCACCTCCCTCTCTGGAGACGGCCTCGCTCCCGGCTCCTGTGCGCCCTTCCATCCTTCAGAATGACTTCATACATTCAGGAGCGGATGTTCATGTCTGCTCCCCTCCCCCCTTTTATACCAGTGGCCTCACCCTATGCACACTGTCTCCATCTCTTTTCACCTGAACGTGTCACGGAGGTTGGTCTGCACCATAGGCTGGGGGTTGCCCACTCATTTTCACGGCTGAATGACTAGCAGTCCATTGCGTGGGTGGCCATGATTGACACAGTGTCCTGTGTCAGGCATTTGTATTGTTTCTGGTCTTTTGTCCAAGAGATTCGCTGCAGTGAGTGGCCTTGGTGTGTATTGTTGCACCTGTGTCTGCGTGTGCGGGAACGGGCATTTCTCACCGGGTGGGTGTGCCCAGTTGCCCTCCGTGGAGTATGGACCCACGGTGACATTTGGGAGTTAGACCAGCTGCTTGTAACTGTCTGGCCTTGGGGTAGTTCCACTGAGTTTTCCCTACTGTCCCCAACCCCCAGGGGGAAGGTCAGCAAACACTGATGGTGTCATTACTGTGCTTCGGGGTGGCCAGTGCTGGGCAGAGTGACAGACACCCGGATTTCAGACCTGGCCTCCTCTCCCTCCTGGGCTCAGCTGGCCCAGCACCCCAGCTCTGAGTTTGGGGGAGACTCATATTTTCAGCAAAGTCACTCCCAAGATGCAGGCTCTGAGAGCCTCCTCCGGGAGCGAGGCTGGGTCCTCCAGTGGGTCACGTCGGGGACACGGGCATTGTGGAGGGGAGGAAGGGGTCCCATTGAGAGCCCGCCTCTCTCCTGCCGTGGTTCCCTCCTGCGGGGTGTGGGCCAGCGGAGCGTGAAACGGAGCAGAGCCCAGTGGGCCGCAGTTTGGACTCAGCGGCCCCCCCACCCCTCCCCAGGGGCCCAGGGCCGTTTCTGCAGGTGGCGTCTGTCAGGCGCACCGTGAGCAGTGGCGGGGTTGGGTGTGACGGGTCTGGCCCACGTTTAGCCCTGAGAGCTAAGGCCGGAGAAGCGGCTGCGCAGCCGCCGTCTCCTGGGCCACTTCTCGCTGACACACTTCCTGGGGACCCATAATTCGGGGCAGCACCTGGGGGTCTGTCCAGGAAGCGCACTGAAGCCGCCACCCTCTCTCCGCAGAGCCTGACGGGGCACACGTCCCCAGTGGAGAGCGTCCGCCTCAACACGCCCGAGGAGCTCATCGTGGCCGGCTCCCAGTCCGGCTCCATCCGCGTCTGGGACCTGGAAGCTGCCAAAAGTAGGTGTCTGCGCTCCCTCCAGCGCGCTCCCTGCGCCCTGCTGTCCAGGCTCCGTCCCGTTGCTTCCTCCAGGAAGCCCGTCCTGGCTAGGTGGGGTGCTCCGTCCTGGGACACTGGCCCCCACCTCTGAATGCTGGCGCCGAGGAGGCGCCTGGGAATGTCCGAGCGGACAGCTGTGTGGGTGGGCGGGTGGGTACGTTTGTGGATTCCGAACCTGCAAGGACATCGGGTGCCACCAGGGGCCACACAGGAGTGAGGTAGCTGTGTGGGGCACTCTGGGGAGCGGGTGGCCCAATGGGGTGGCCCCCACTCAGCTGCCTGCAGGACGGGGCTGGGGTGGCCAGCCCTTCTGTTTGCTGCCGCTCTGATGGTTTCAGTCTAGTTTTCGCCTTTATAGGAGTCAGAGGGTAAGAAGGCAGGTACCGGTCGTTGTACAAATACTCACCTTTCCCTCACAGAGGCCTCAGCCTCTGCCCTCTAACCTGGTGTTTTGCTCATTCCCTCCATCTTTCTAAACAACATGGTTCCGCTGCCATTTCTTCCCAAGAGCATTGCATATGGCAGCACAGAACACTGCAGGCCAACCTGAGAGGCCACGGTTTGCTGCCCGCCACTGGCCTGGGCTTCCAGCGTGCCGGGTGGGGGCCACCGCCGAAGGGGAGAGGAAACGGGCGTGGGGTTGCCAAGGCTGCTTTTCCCAGAATTAATCCCCCCTTTCTCCCCACCCCCACCCCCCATGCCTGGCTGAGACTCAGAGTCTCTGGGCTCCTCCTGTGGGGCGTGCTCTGCCTCCGCCGTAGGACGGTGGCTGTCAGCCACACACACTCAGTGGCCAGGGTCATTCTGCCGAGGGCAGTGGTCTTCTTGTGTCTTGGGCGCCGGGCCTCGTGGGTGCGCTTGCCCCCTGGTGCGGGCTGCATGTTTAGCGTCTCGTACGCCCCCGCTGCCTGGCCGCACGCAGGACCCACCGTGTCTGTGCTGGGGCATCGCTGGAGCCGAGGGGCCGCGGAACCAGCAGAGAACGCAGAAAGGCTCGGCGGAAGGCAGTTCCCCACCTGGGAAGTCTCTGCTGGACCGAGTCCCAGCGGACGGCGCCAGCCGTTCCCGGCACTGGAGCCGGGGACACAGGGAGGACGGGGCTGTGCGTTCTCAGACACAGCCATTTCGCGTGCACGGGAAACGTGAGCGTTCCTCACGGTGGGCAAGCAGTGGAAGCTGGAGACCTGTCTGGAACTCCAGGGCATGGAGTCCCCACAGTGGCCACTCTCAGGCTCCTTACAAACGTGGCCCAGACCCCACTCGCAGCGAACACGACTCAGAAGTGGGGTAGGCCCAGAATCGGCTTTCAGTAAGCTGCCAGCTGACCGATGCAGAGCCAGGCTGGCAGGGCCCCCTTCTTTGTCCGATGGGCGCACTGGGCCCAGGGAGGCCACTGAGCTCCGTGAGGACCCTCTGGCTGGGTGTGGCAGAAGCTGGGACTCGAATCCTGAGGTCAGAATTCCCATCCCAGTGCTCCCCTGTCATCTGCTGTCTCAGTTGGGGAGTTTCTCGGAAGACCTTGAGTTTCTTCCTTCAGCAGCCACGGCAGGAAGAGCTGAGACCATCGTGGCATGCGTGGCAGTGGCAGGCTACGGAAGGAGTTCACGACGGCTGCTTTGAAGGCAGCCCATCACTCGGGGGTTCAGGAAAGGATGAGCAGCTTCTTGGCTGGGAGGTTCCCTCATGGGGTACACGCCCTCCTCTGCAGCGCCAGTGACCCAGGCCTTCCTCCTGGGACAGGAGAGCAAGGGCAGAAGTCACGCCCGAAGAATGTGGTCCTGCCTGCTTTCCGTGGCACAGCCAGAGGGCCAGGGTGGGTCAGCCGGATCCCGCTTCACGAAGCCGGCCCACGCAGGGCGGGGCGCGCCACATCCTCTCGGGGCGGGGCAGGGTTTTGGAAACCTTGCTGTGGGATGCAGGGCCGTGGGCTGAAGCCGGAGCCCGCATTCTGCCCCCTCTAGGCCCTGGACTGGGCAGTGTGTGCCCGAGGCCGCCTTGACCAGAAACCCGGTGGCATGTGACCACCTCCTTGAAGGGAGCTCGCTACCTCCCAGCATCCGCGTCACCTTGGCTCACACCTCAGGATGGCTGGGCTCCTACCTGTCGGCCCCAGCATTCACGGGGGATCGCTTTCATGCGGACAGCAGAATTATAAATCTTTTAAAAAGCGAGACACACGAGGCCAGACGAGACAAATTTGATTCGGACCAGAGACAAACACTGTTTGCCTGTGGGCTGAGCAGGGCTATGGAGCTGCCTGCAGAGCCTTGAAAGGTGGGAATCAGCAGGAGACTGGCCCCCCCACCCCTGAGGTTCTGAGGCCCAGCATGTCCCCCCTGTGTCCTCTCAGTCCTCACAGCCACCTCCCTCCAGGGCCACAGCTGGCACACCCTCTACTCGCCCTACTTGGTTGGGGGGGGGGATGCTTTGCCCACCACTCCCCTTTGCCTGACATTCCCCTCCCCCCCTTTGCTCTCCAAAACACACTGGGACAAGCTTAGAGCAAAAGCTGGGGACTGCGATGCATTTTCCCGAGGTTTAGGTAACATCGGAAATGGCTCTCAGGAGGAAAAGAGGGGAATTAGTTGTTCGGGTGGTAGGACCCTGGTTGACTTTCGCCCCACTTTTTAAAGTCGTGTTATTCTTCAGTTAGTATGAAAGCCCCACACAAACCCAACAGCCTCTGTGCCGGCCATCTTGTCCGCCTCTGAGCCAGCGTCTCTGCTTCTCTTGTTAGTTCTCCGCACGCTCGTGGGACACAAAGCCAACATCTGCAGCCTGGACTTCCACCCCTACGGCGAGTTTGTGGCCTCGGGCTCCCAGGACACAAACATCAAGGTGAGATGCCACTCTCAGCCCTGAAGGCTTGCTTCTGGAAGCTTGCGAAGGCAGAAACTGGGGGTGGGTTCTTAGCTCTTTGTGGGGCGTCTTCTCTGTGCAGAAACGGAGAAGGGGAGATGGGACATTTCTGCTTGGAATTCCCAGCTTTATTTTATTTTAAATATGTTTTTATTGATTAAAGAGAGGAAGGGAGAAACAACAATGATGAGAATCATTGATCACCTGCCTCCTGCATGCCCCCTACTTGGGATTAAGCACACAACCCAGGCCCCAACCGGGAATCGAACCATGTCAGCGCTCAATCAGAGTCACACCGCCAAGCAGAATTCCCAGCTTTAGTGAGCAGTTTCCAGACTTCTGTTATTTTGGGGTTTAATGACTTGCAGCCACATTCTGGCCTCGGGGCCAGGGGTTAGGCCCCCCAGCGCAGGCCCGGTGTTGGTTGTGCCTGTGCTGACTGCCCTCTGCTCCTCTCCCGCAGCTCTGGGACATCAGGAGGAAAGGCTGCGTCTTCCGGTACCGGGTAAGGAAGGCCCCGCGGTGGTCATTCCACAGCTCCCTGCGGGCATGGAGCATGGTGGTGCCACACTGGCAGGGCTGGAGGGCATTGCTGTCCAACATGGGTGAGAGCGTGAGAAATGTGAATCAGGTGAATCCGGAGCGGAGCAGGGTGCTGGGCGTGGTCCACCTGGACCCCCAGCTCTCCACGAATCCCCCAAAACCAGGGGAGGGGGAACCTGTGCATAGAAGTTTGGAAGCACTAAGTTTAACATAGCCTTATTCTTAAGAGATTTTATTTTTTATTCTTAGAGGTTTTTAGACCCTTTGACATGAAGAGGGGGCATTTAACTCTAAAAAGAGGCAAAAGGCTGACCATGCATCTTGGTTTCCTGGAGCCTCTGCAGGCTTGGGAGTCCATGGTCCCCTGGGAAGTGTCCCTCTGTGGCATCTCCTACCCCTCATTGCCCGCACCCCAGGATGCCTGCTTGTCGAAGGGCGGTGGGCGGTGGGGAGGGAAGGCTCTGGGCCGGGCCCCGAGGGTGAGCCCGTGCTCTGTCCTCCTCAGGGGCACAGCGAGGCCGTGCGGTGTCTCCGGTTCAGCCCCGACGGGAAGTGGTTGGCATCGGCTGCAGACGACCACTCAGTGAAGGTAGCTCCCGGCGCCTGCGGGTCACGCTCAGGCTGGTCCCCCCCCCCCCCCCTTGGGGTTGCTGTCCCACGCTGTGCAGGTGGGAAGGTGGTGTGTGGACAGAGCTTGGGCTGGACCAGGGGGAGAGGGTGGTCCTGACCTCCACCCGCCTGCCCCAGCTCTGGGATCTGACTGCCGGCAAGATGATGTCCGAGTTCCCTGGCCACACGGGGCCCGTCAACGTGGTGGAGTTCCACCCCAACGAGTACCTCCTGGCCTCCGGCAGCTCCGACAGGTGAGGAGGAGCGGCAGGGCCCGCCGCCTGTGACTGCCGCTCCTCACATCGCTGCCGGAGCGGATGTATATCTGTCCCCAATCTGCCTCTGCCCAGGGTGTCATATGCCTGAGACTCTGTAGCTGAAAAACTGCCAGCCCACGATGGGCCTTTGGCTTCCGGCCTGTGTCCTGGGCCTTCAGGGCATGTCCAGACCCAAGGCTCACGTTGGCCTTTCACTGTGTCCCTCCCCCCGCCTGTCCAGGGCCAGCCTGGCCCCAGGCTCTGCTCTAATGGCCCTGAGGGAGGGGGGTGTGTAGGGGGAGGAGGCCTGTGTGGAGCCAGCGCTCTGGCTGCCTTTGCAGGACCATCCGCTTCTGGGACCTGGAGAAGTTCCAGGTGGTGAGCTGCATCGAAGGGGAGCCGGGGCCTGTCAGGTACGCCGGCCGCTGGGCGTGGGCAGTCCTCCCGGGGGGTGAGGGGTGAGTGCGGGGGGCTTTCCCTCCCGTCCTGGGCTCCCCGCGGCCTCCCCAGCCTCCTGGGACCCATGGCCACTCTCGCCTGCCCAGGAGCATCCTCTTCAACCCCGACGGCTGCTGCCTGTACAGCGGCTGCCAGGACTCGCTGCGCGTCTACGGCTGGGAGCCCGAGCGCTGCTTTGACATGGTCCTCGTCAACTGGGGCAAGGTGGCCGACCTGGCCATCTGCAACAACCAGCTGGTGAGACTGCTGCCCGCACATCCTCCCCGTACCGTCTGCCCAGCTGCTCCCACCAGCCCAGCAGGCCCTCCCCCATCCCCCGGCCTTGCAGGCCTCCTGCCCACCTCCCCTAGCCGCTGCTCTGCTGCTTCCTGCAGATCGGCGTGGCCTTCTCCCAGAGCAACGTCTCCTCATACGTGGTGGACCTGACCCGGGTCACCAGGACAGGCACGGTGGCCCAGGACCCCGTGCAGGACAGCCGGCTCCTGGCGCAGCAGCCGCCCCTCCCCACCGCCCCCCTCCGGCGCATCTACGAGCGGCCCAGCACCACCTGCAGCAAGCCTCAGAGGTGGGCTCAGGCTCGGGGGGGCACAGGAAGCGGGTCTGACCCTGGGAGAGCTTTGGGGGGCCCGGCCCGGCCTCACTGGCCGTCCTCCTCGTGCTGCCCGCAGGGTGAAGCAGAACTCGGAGAGCGAGCGCCGCAGCCCCAGCAGCGAGGACGACCGGGACGAGCGGGAGTCCCGCGCGGAGATCCAGAACGCCGAGGACTACAACGAGATCTTCCAGCCCAAGAACAGCATCAGTGAGGCCCGCTTCCCACCGGGAGCCCAGCTCCCTTCGTTCCTACCCCCACGCCCGGCCAGTCTGTCCCCAGGAACTCCAGGCCCAGCAGAGCCCCGGCAGCCGCTCAGCGCCCTGCCCGCCGCAGGGGCGAGTGGGGGGGAAGGGGTGGGACTGAGTTTGGGGGCCAGGACAGGGTCGCAGGTGTGCAGCTGCATGCCTGGAAACCACCTCCCACCCCGTCCTCAGGACAGGCTCCCAGCTCTAGGGACTCAGACAGGAACCCTGGGCAGCTGACACGAGTCCCCAACCCCTGTCCCCTCTACAGGTCGGACACCGCCTCGAAGAAGCGAGCCCTTCCCAGCACCCCCCGAGGATGGTGAGTCAGAGTGGGGCAGAGCTGGCCTCCCAGCTCCTCAGTGCTCTCCCCTCTGAGCCCCTCCCCGGCACAGATTCAGCCTCTGCCGCTTGCTCAGGAGCTCCTACTGTGTGCCAAGCCCCAGGCTAGTCCCTGGCGGTTGAGCAGGAACAGGGTAGGCAGGTGCTCTTCGCAAGCCCACAGATGAGCCCGGAAATGGGACACGTGCTGTGGAGGAGCAGGCGGGGCCGATGTAGGTGGGGGGCCTTGTGGCTCTGCAGCCCCTCACCGCCTGCGCCCCGGCACACATGCCTAGTGAGCTGGCAGACTGCCCTGCCTGGAGCTCCCCGGTCCCATCGATTCACAGGCTAGGTGCCTGCCTCCTGCCAGGCCTGGGATTGGGTAGGTAGAAAGTGGGGGACAGCCCAGCCCCTGCCCTTGGGCCTCCACACTGCTGACATCACCTCCCCGCTGCCCGCTGGCTCCTGCCCTGACCCCGCGGGTACAGGTGTCCACCTGAGCCTGCCTTCTTCCTGACACATCTTTTCCTCTCGCCTCCAGACGTGGCCACAGCCAAGGAGGCAGCAAAGCCCAGCCCAGCCACGGACACGCCGCTCCCCGTGCCAAACGTATGTCTGGGTGGAGGGCGTGTGAGACTCAGAGGGGCTGGAGCCCTGAGCCAGGGTGAGGGGCTGCCCATCCGGGGGGCAGAGAGGGAGCCCTCGGGCCGGCTGCCCGCTGAGCCTCGGGCCCCTCCAGCTCGAGGTCCCACCCTGGCCCCAGGTCGTCACTTCCACCCCCGCGCCCAAGGCCGAGCCCACCATCATCCCCGCCGCCCGGAACGAGCCCATCGGCCTCAAGGCCTCCGACTTCCTGCCGGTGAGTGGGGGCCGGCCCGAGGGCGGGTGGAGGCCCGGGGGACAGACTGGCCGGATGTGGGGGTAGGAACGAAGGGAGCTGGACTCCCGGTAGGAGCCGGGCCTCACTGATGCTGGGCAGAGCTTCGCTGCCAGCATCTGGCCTGTCCCCCCAGGCCGTGAAGATCTCCCAGCAGACAGAGCTGGTCGACGAGGACGCCATGTCGCAAATCCGCAAAGGCCATGACACCATGTGCGTGGTGCTCACCAGCCGTCACAAGAACCTGGACACCGTGAGGGCCGTGTGGACCACGGGCGACATCAAGGCAAGCGCCTGCCCCTGCCCCTGCCCCTGCCCCTGCCCCGGGCTTAGGGCAGAACCGAGAAGAGGGCCGCAGGAGCGGCTGGTGCGGGGAGGCAGCCGTCACCACATGGGGGTGACTCCGTTTCTCCCATCCTCATCACAAGCCGCCACTTGCTGCACACCCACTCGTGGGCCCGGCCTGTGCGCACACCAGGGGGCTTTATTACACCACACACGCCGGCAGGGCCCTCCCCCAGCCCTCTGACGGGCGCTCTGTTTGCACAGACGTCGGTGGACTCGGCCGTAGCCATCAATGACCTGTCGGTGGTGGTAGACCTCCTTAACATCGTCAACCAGAAAGCGTAAGTGGCTGCAGGGTGGCGGGCGGAGCGGGCAGGGCTGGGTGCTGAGGGCCCCTGTCCCGGCCTCTCCCCAGCTCCCTGTGGAAGCTGGACCTGTGCACCACGGTCCTGCCGCAGATCGAGAAGCTCCTGCAGAGCAAGTACGAGAGGTACGCCAGCGAAGCCCCTCCTCCCAGAGGGAGGGCAGACAGGCTTGGGCAAATCTCTCCCCAGGTTGTGCCCCCGGGAGGTGGCTGTGCAGCCATGCTGCCCCCTGCAAGTTCCAGAGGCCAAGGCGGAAGCAAGCCGTGCTGCCTCTCACCCTCTGCCCCTCTCTCTGTACTTGCTGTTCCCTGGCTGTGGCTGCATCCATCTGCCTGCCTCTGCAGCTACGTCCAGACAGGCTGCACCTCCCTGAAGCTGATCCTACAGCGCTTCCTGCCCCTCATCACGGACATCCTGGCCGCCCCGCCCCCTGTGGGGGTCGACATCAGCCGGGAGGAGAGGTGAGGGCCGGGCAGTGCCTGTGTTGGGGTAGGGGTGCCAGGCCAGGTGAGGGTGGCCCTGCTGGCACAGCTTATGCAGGAGGTCACTGTGCCTGGACGAAGACCCCAGCTCAGGGTGGAGGGTGGGGGGAGCCAAAGCCGGGTTCCTCCACAGCCTGGCTCTGCCCCGAGCCCTGGTGCCCCCTGCATGGCCTGGGAGCGGGGCGGGAGAGGTTAGGGCAGAGGGGCCCAGGGACAGTGGGGCCTCCGCTAGTGCTGCCCTCCGCCCGCAGGCTGCACAAGTGCCGGCTCTGCTACAAGCAGCTCAAGAGCATCAGCGGCCTCGTCAGGAGCAAGTCGGGCCTGAGCGGCCGCCACGGCAGTGCCTTCCGGGAGCTGCACCTGCTCATGGCCAGTTTGGACTGAGGACCCCAATGGGTGGGGGCACCGGGCAACCCTTAGGGCCTGGCCTCCACCCCAACTCGTTACCTGTGCACCCACCGGCCCATGAGCCTCTGCCCTGTGGCCATCCTGGAGGTGGCGGCGCTGGCCCACTGGCCACCTCCACAGCCCTGAACTCTCAGACAACTTCCGTCCGGCTATGGCTGCCCAGCTTGCCCGATTCTTGCTTCGTGGGGCAGCCAACCGAGCCCTGGGGCTGCCGCTGTAATTTATAAGAAATTTTATTAAATTTGTAACTATTCCCTGGTTTTCTTGCCCAAAGGGGCATCTCGCCATGGCTCTCCTAGGTGCAGGATTGCAGGCAGAGGCCTGCACCAGGCTGTGTGGCCAGCAGGGGGCAGCAGAGCGCCAGGCCAACAGGAAAGGGCCCATTCAGACTTAATCTGGGGGAGGCAGCAAATCTTCCCCCGGGGCTGGGAGATAGGTGAGAGGTGAGCCCCACCATCCCGTCTCAGCCACACTTGCAGCTGTCCTGTGGATGCCACCACGCCAACAGCTGCAGGATGCCAGGACACCCCACCTGGGCTGTGGGGCAGGACACGCACCGTGCTGCCCCACAGCCCAGGCCTTCAGAGACAGGGCTGGACACCCCCAGCTTCCCCTGTGGGCTCTAACACACCTCACTCCCTGCAGCACCCCCCGTGCTGGTGGCCAGGATAAGCAACCTGACCCAGTGGGTTCAGCTCCAGATGGAGGGAGGACCCCACTGAGCACAGGCTCCCTCAAGGCTGGGACCAAATTTAGCCCCCCCCTCCATGGGGGGGTATCCTATAAGACCTAGGGGAGGGTGGCGCTCACCTGTGGCCAGCTCACTTACGTGGACAAGGCCAGGCCCAGCCTGGTGGTGCTGAGCCAGGAGAAGCCTGCGTGTTCCACCTGTAAGACGGAGGTGACGACACTGTTGAGGGGTCAGTGACAAGGGGAGGGGGCACCGGTCCTACCCATCGTGGATGTCCAGGCCACGCGATCCTTACTCTGGGCCGGCCTGGGGCTGTGGTGACCGCCAGCAGCGGGAACCAGCAGCACCGGCTGACACCCTGCTCCTGGGCTCACAAGACCACACGTGTGTAAAAAGGCTTTTATTTTAATATTAAAAATGGCTAAGCTTCCAAGGGTTCTTAAATAGGCTTTCAGAGGAGCTATGGTCAGGAGGCCAGTGAGCAAGGAGAGCCTGGTGCCAGGCGGGTGGGTGCAGCAGAGTCCCCTGCCCCCTGGCCTCCTGCCAGCCATAAATAACCCGCCTGTCGCCCGGCAGGCCGCGCTATGTACACAACGAACACTATTCCCAGGCCCCGGGCGGGCCCTGGAGGACTGCCCCAGGGTGCCCACCACCCTGCCCATCCGACAGTCCCTGTGCCTCCCGGGGGCTCCTCGGTCACCCCTGCAGAGGGTGCCCTGCAGGCTGGGAGAGGCGGGCCAGCCCGGGCCAGGCCACCTCCCAGGGACCGCTCTCGGGGGGGTCTGGGCCTGCCAGGTGGAGCGGGCCGGCCCTGCCCTTCCAGCCCACGTCGTTGGCACCAACAGCACAGCCGAGACACCGTTTCCTTCGGAACATGTTTCTCATCTCAGGAGACACCGGAGGAGCCTCCTCCGGTCTCCGCCTCCTGGGCTCCCGGCGGGAACAGGCCCGTGAGGCCTGGGACCGAGCCCCTGACACGCAGGGCGGACACGTCCATCACACAGGCAGCGGCCTGGACTTCCCTGCAGGGGGGAGGGGGCTTGTTAGCCTCCGGCTAAGAGCAGGAGGGAAGCCGGGCAGAAGCACACAGACAGACAGACAGAGACAGCAGGTAGCAGGACAGACCCAGCCCTGAGCGGCAGGCTCCCGGCACAGCCCTACACCCCACGGCGAGGCCAGGTGCGGGCAGCCCCGGGCCGCGGGCCCACACTCACCTGGAGACGGCGCCCCAGCCTCAGGCTGAAATCAAAGCAACAGGCGTCTCACTGGCAGGCCTGCCTCGGGCCGGGACCCCAGGACCTGCCGCCCTGTCTGCACCCCAAGCACTGGCTGGCCTTTCTGCGAGTGGGGCGAGTGGGGGCTGGAGGCCTGGACCCCAGGCCCTGGCCAGGCTCCCTCATCTAGGACGTGGGATGAGCCCTGACCTTTCCGCCACGGACTGAGGCTCAGGGCTGGTGACGCAGAGCTGCTGTGACCGGCGTATTGCAGCCCAGCCAGGGACACTCACATCCTGGGCCCGAGTCACCAGCCCACGGGAGCCCTTTGGGGGGGGGGGGGGGGGGGAGTCCTTCCGTTTCCCTCTGTGAATCGGTCACAGCACCATCTGCCCTGGCTGAAACCCAGGGCCACGGCAGGTTGTGAAACAGGTTCTGGAGATGTTTGGGGGAAATTTTAAAAAGCCCGTCGAGGTAAGGGCAGTCCCGTGGCGGTGACTGGCCCGTGAGGGTGGCTCACCCCCCGCACCCGGCTGCCCACCCCTGAACGCTCACCTGAGGGCTGCAGCCTCCGCCGGATGGAGCCGGGGCGGCTGGAGGTCCCGGAGCTGGGGGCCGAATGGGCGCGAGCCGCGGCGGGGGGCGTCTGGCAGGCCGGCTCCCACTGCGGGCAGGGGACGCAGGTGGGTGGGGCTCCCCACACCCCTTCACCACGCTCCCCTCCCCGGCCTCCCGACACTGCTTCCCCGTCTGCAAAATGGCTGCCGTGACGCGCCCGGCTTGTTATTGGAGAGGTGAACAGGTAGCACGTGGGAAGACTTGAGCTAGTCAATGCTGAGCACCTGTGCTCCCTGCGCCCGCCCATCCCCGCCGGCTGAAGGCCCCGCGGGCACCTCGGAGGCCAAGAGCTCCTTTTGCTGCTGGGTTTGGGTTCAAGTTTTGGCTCCAGCCCCTCTGGCATCTCCTCCCAACCCCCACAAGTTGTCACCCCTCCCGGGCTCTCCCTCCGGCCCCTGTGCCATCCCCCTACCTCCAGGTGCTCTTGGCTGGACCAGGACCCCAGCTCTGCCCTGCGGGACCCGGGGCCCAGCTCCACGGAGCGCACCCTCTCAGCAAACTTGAGGGAGTAGAGGGTCTCGCTGGTGTTCTTCTCCACGGGGGACACCTAGGGGACACACGGGCTCACTGTGACCCCACCCAAGCCGGCTGCCCCCACAGCATGAGAGGAGCAGCATGCTCACCAGAGGGCGCTCACGGCCAGGGGACTCTGGCCCAAAGGAAGGAACTTGGGTCAGGTGACCAGACGTCCCGCTTTTGGTGGGACAGTCCCGATTTTCCTAAATAATTTGTCCTGCGTCCCCGCGGCGTGTTAAAAAATATTACGATACTATTTTTGCATTCTATGCAAGTTTTTGTTGCTCCATATAGAACAAATTTTTAATCAAGACACCCCCCCACTCCCGCACCCCCTGTCAATGGTGTCCCGCTTTACCAATGTTAAAATCTGGTCACCTTAAACTTGGGAGGCACACGGGGCGGGGGGGGGGGGGGGGGAATGTAGGAGGGGAGGGCCCTGTCGGGGTGCATGTCACTGACTTCGGAGCTGCTGAGGACGAGGGCCCCTTCCCTGCACAGCCCGGGTGCCCAGGAGGGGCCCTTCCCTGCACACCCCCGAGGCCCTCACCTGCACCACCATGAGGGTCTTGCTGTCGCCGCTGAGCGAGTCCTGCAGGAGGTAGGTGAGCTTGGAGTTGCGGAAGGGCACATGGCCCTGGCGGGAGCGCAGGGCGGCGATGACGTCCCCCAGCGCCGACAGCGACCGATTGATGTGCTGCGCCTCCCGCAGGCGGCTGCCCTCGGCCCCCGACTTGCCTACGCGCTCGGAGCCGGCCAGGTCCACCAGGTTCAGCTTCCCTGCGGGAGGGCGGGCGCGGGGAGGTCAGGGGCGCCCCGGAGGCGGGGGAGAGGGGGGTGTCGGGGGGGCCGGGAGGGCCACCCGGGCCCTCGCTCACCCGTGGTGCGGAGGCCGGTGCTGCAGTCCACGCCGCGCACCGTCACGATGAGCAGGGCGTGCGAGCGGGAGCTGTGCTCGTTCAGGTTGGTGAACTCCGTGGTGCGGTTGGTGTGGCCGAACTCGAACACCTGGGGGCGGGCGGGGCAGGGGGTGGTACAGGGTTCGAGGGGGGGCCTTGGGATCGCCCCATCCCCAGGTGCCCCTGGAGTAAGGTGACCAGACGTCCCGCTTTTGGCGGGACAGTCCCGATTTTTAACCATTTGTCCCGAGTCCCACGGTGTTTTAAAAAAGTCCAAAAGATTTAAAAGATTCTTTCCAAAAATCGGGACTTTTGCCGAAGCCGGTTTGGCTCAGTGGATAGAGCGTCGGTCTGCGGACTGAAAAGTCCCAGGTTCGATTCCGGTCAAGGGCATGTATGTTGGTTGTGGGCACATTCCCGGTAGGGGGTGCGCAAGAGGCAGCTGGTCGATGTTTCTCTCTCATCGATGTTTCTAGCTCTCTATCTCTCTCCCTTCCTCTCTGTAAAAAAATCAATAAAAAATATATTTTTTTAAAAATCGGGACTTTTTTAAAACGCCGCGGGACAAATTGTTCCAAAGCGGGACGTCTGGTCACCTTACCCTGGGGGGGGGGGGCGGTCACCCTCTGTGCTGTACGAGGAGGAAACAGGCTCGGAAGGCTCGGGGCGGGTCCCCCCCACATTGCCCCGCCCCGTCCCCCCAACCCACACCTTGTTGATGTCGTCCACGCTCTGCACCCGGAACTCCGTCAGGCCCGGCACGTACAGCTGCCCGCTGCCGTCGGGGCACAGCCGGATCTCCAGCTTCTCCTGGGGCTCCTGCCCCAACAGGTCCCTGCCGGGGGGGGGGGGGGGGGGGGGGGAGGACCCCAGTCACTCTCTCCTCCTGTGTCTGCTGGCTCTGCACCTGCCCCAAACCCGGAATGTCCCCCGTCCCACTGCATCCCTTCCTGGACACCGGGCTACGCCCCTCCCACGCCAGCTCCTCCCTGCACTCAGCCCACTGACGGGCGGAGACCCATCGTCCCCCAACCAAAAGGCCTGTGGCTGCTCCTCCTGCCCCCACAGTGCACCAGCTCCCCACAGCCCTCTCCATCACCCCTGGGCGGCCTGCAGGAATGGGGGAGCTTCCAGGGGGGAAAAGGAACCCCTCAGGAGAGCAGAGAGAGCGCCCTCTTCCCTGCCCGCCGATGGGGGAGGGGCCTGGGGCCAGCAGAGCCTCTGAGCGGAGTCCTGGGGTACAGCCCCCCCACTCCTCCTTCAAGGAGGCTCCACGCTCCCATCCCACCTGGCTCCACGCGGTCCTGAGACCACCCAGCTTCCCGGGGGCATGTGCCACCCCAGGGCTGCCACTTGAGGGCCCTCAACCTGATGACCCCCTCCCCCCCCCCCCCGCCCCCTCAGCCCCCGAGCCTCAAACCTGAGGGCCTCGTTGTAGATCTCGGCTGCGCTGACGGTGATGGTGAACTGCCAGTCGGAGGCCTTCTCCTGCACCTCGGAGAAGAGCAGCTGCAGGGCCCGCTGGTTGATGCCCGGGTTCTCGGGGGTTCCCTGGGGGCAGATGCAGGGCCCCGTGAGCTGGGCCCCTCCCGCCACGAGGGGTGGCCCGTGCCGATGCTCACAGGGCGCCTGTGGCCCCAGCGCCTGCCAGCTGCCCCTCGCAGGCCAGCCTCCCTGCCCGGAGCCTCCGTCTGCAGGCTGGTCTGTCCCCAGTTCCTCTCTCCCCCACTGCAAGCAACTTCATTCACCTCCTGGGGCCTCCGTTTCCCCACCTTTAAAATGGTACCACCCTGCCCGACTGCCCTAGAGCCAGTGGTCGGCAAACTCATTAGTCAGCAGAGCCAGATATCAACAGGACGACGATGGAAATATCTTCTGAGAGTCCAATTTTTTTTTAAACGTAAACTTCTTCTAACGCCACGTCTTCAACCATAGACTTGCCCAGGCCGTGGTGTTTTGTGGAAGAGCCACACCCCCAGGGCCAAAGAGCCACTGTTTGCCGACCATGGTGTGAGGTGGTTGTGGTCACCTTGGCTCTCCTACCACTGGGACCATCCCAGTGCCCTCCAGGCCCCGGCGCCTGGGGAGGTTGTGAGGCAAAACACACCACGCAGAACCCTGAGCCCTGACCCGTGGCAGCAAGGGGAGTCCTCACTGCCTGACCCCCTCCCCCCCGCCCCCCATCCCTCAGGCAGCGGCACCCACCTCCATCGTGTACGTCTTGCCAGCACCCGTCTGGCCGTAGGCGAAGATGCAGACGTTGAACCCGTCGATGCAGGAGGTGATCAGGGCCTGCACCTCCTGGAAGACCTGGGGAGGGGACACGGGATGGATGGAGGGTGTGGGGCTGCTGGGACCAGGGTCCCCACCAGCGCCTCGTCTGGCCACTCCCCGGGACCGCTCCCTCCTTCGGCAATCACACCCAACCCCCCCTGACCGCTCCCTCCTTCGGCAATCACACGGCACGTGACTATGGACACCGGCTCACTGGGGAGCAATCGTGACTACCGAGTCAGTGGCACCACACACCGATGGTAACCTCGCTGCCGAGAGACGGACGGGAAGACAGGGCAGTGCCTGCTGCCCGCCAACAACACCTGAGGGAGGGCCGCCCAGCCCTGGGGCGCAGGGACCCGCCCCCAGCCCTGGAGGGTGCGGGTGCAGCCAAATGAAGACAGAGGCCAGTCACATGCCTGGCACCTCCTCCGCCTGCCTGCCTGCCTGACAGTGGGCCGAGGACGGGGGCAAAGGGAGGGCCGGGCACGGAGCAGAGCACAGGCCCAACAGGCCTGGCAGGTTGGCGCTGGCAGAGATGGGACTAGAGCAGGTGCTGAGACCCCACGCCTCTCACAGGCTGGAGGGACCGGGCTCAAAGCTGGCCAGGGTCATGCGGATAGGAGGAGCCACGTGGGTGGGCGGAGCTCTGGTGGTGGGCGTGGTCACGTGGGTGGGCGGGGCCACGTGGGTAGGTGGGTGGGCGGGACTGTGCCTGGATCTCTCCTTCCCAGCAGAGGCTTCCAAGGCTCCTCAGTCTTGGCTTCCCACCCTCTTCTCTCCAGAGGGAAGGAGAGAGGGACCCCGACACCCAGGCTTCTCTATCCTGTCTCCCCCCCCCCACGCTCACACTGCTTTCTGTCCACCCCCGGCTGTCTCTCCCTTTCCTGGTGAGTGTCTCTGTGTCCCCCCTCTCTCCCCACCCCCCGGAGAGCCACACTCACGTCCTGCTGGGAGGCCCTCGGGGAGAAGACCTTGTCCAGCTCGAAGGACACGGGCTTCCCTTTGTGCAGCAGGTGGATGATGGAGTCGTCGTCGGGGTCGAAGGTCACCGCGTTGGTGGCCTCCGGCCCTTCCCCGTCCTCTTTGGTGACCGGCCGGACACGAGCGATCACCCGGATGTTGCCTGGATTGGGGCGGGGGCGGGGAGGAGAAAGGGGGCAGGCTGGGTCAGGACCAGACGGCGTCCACGCTGGTGCCCGCTGGAATCCTAAGCGGGCTGGTAGCTCAGGAGCCTCTGGCCTCCTAAGAAAGGCCCCCCGGGGCCACCCAGCTGGTATCAGTCACTCACACGATAGTGTCAATTCCCTTATTGGGACATTTCCTTCCTGCGCAAACCAGTTGGGGGTGGGAGCCTCCCCCTGGGGGCAGGGGGACATTGTGGGGGTCCTGTGGCGAGGAGGAGGGGGAGCGCCCTGGGATTGGCTGGCAGAGAGGCTGCCTTCCGGGGCGGGTGTTTGGGGCATGGATCTCCCAGCCCTGCGGTGGGGTCCCGGTGCCCCTGGAATGAAGACTCCCCACCACAGCTCGCCTGGGCCCACCTCCCCTCTCCCCGTCCACGCCAGCTCCCAGCCCAGGTCTCGGATCTAGCTCTGCCTCCTCCGGGACGCCCCCCAACAGCCCTCCTCCCCAGCCCTGGCAACGGGACCCCTCTCGGGGGTTCCCTGGCTGATGGCGGATCACGGTCTGCCCTCCCAGCGGGAGTGAGCGCCGGGAGGCGGGGATGGCGTCTGTGGGCCCACGGCCAGGCCTCCATCCGTGTCTGGAGCAGCACCTGGCACAGGACAGGTGCCCCCTAGGCCTTCGTGGGGTGAGCAGGTGGCATGGCAGCCACTCCCCACCCAGGCCCGGGGGTGATCCAGGCCCTGCCTGCTCTGTCTCCGCTGCTCTATCCTCCGAGACGGAAAGACAGTAGCTCCTCAGTGGCAGGGGCCGTGGGGAGGGACAGGGTCACCCCTGAGCCAGGCAGAGGGCCCTGTGCCGGCGCCCCCTCCCCGCCCCCTCCCCGCCCCCAGCCCGCAGTCACCTTTCAGCCGCACCAGCTCGTTGTGGCACTTCTTGCGCAGCTGCAGCTCCCGGCGGTACTTGCGTAGCAGCTCCTGGTTGTTGCTGTTCACCTCCTCGATGGCCTGGCCGATCTGGGGGAGGGGAAGGGGGGTGCACGCAGCGCTGTCGGGGGGGGGGGGGCAGCTCCACAGACTGCCTGCCCCCCTCCCCTCCCTCGGTCCCCCGCCCTGGGCCGAGTCCCCTCTGGGGAGGGGGTGTGTGTGTGCTGCGACCAGTTCCATTGTTCAGAGAAGGAAACTGGGCCCCCGAGAGGCTGAGCCAACGGTTCCAGGTTGCCCGGCTGCCCACGCAGAGCGCGGCACCCGCCCTCGCCCTCCGCTCCCGCCGGACCCAGATCCCAGCCCCGCCCGAGGAGCTGGGGGACCCGAGGCAACAGGCTCAGCGTCCTCAAGCCCCGGTTTTCCCATCTGTGAAGCGGGGCGAACACCAGCTAACTCGTGGACCGACCGGTCGGAGCCGGTAGGCAGAGATCTCCGCGCTGCATTCCGCAGGGGGGAGCAGCGAGACGCGGGGCACACGCCCCTCTCTGCCCGGTGGGTGAGAGGGCACAGGCGCCCGCCCGGGAACTGCCGGCACGGAGGCCGCCGGCGGGGGGCAGGGCGGCAGAGTGCTCTCCTCCTCCTCCGATGCCCTTCTTCCCGCCATGCCCGTGTCTTGCTGACATAATATTTGAAAGAAGAACCATTTTCTCCTCCGAAAACAGATCAGCCTCTGCCCGGCAGAGCCGTCACTCAGATTCAAGGAGCCTATAAAAGGCTCCGCGCGGGGGCGGCATGTGAGAGACGCTGGCTATTCTCACATCGAATGGAGCGCAGCTTGCAAAACTTGGAAAAAAAAAAAAATTCAAGCTGGCAGCTGGGAGGATGCATGCAGCGTGTCTGGGATAGGAGGGCGCCTGTAGCATGTTTGGGTTCGAGAGTCGGAATAGAACAAACGCCCAAACGCCTGCCCCTGAGCGGACTTTTTCAAGCAGGGTGTGGGGCGGCGGTTTGGGGTGGGGGTGGGGGGGTGGAAGGGGGCGCAGTTGTTAGTTTGGGGGGAGGTGGAAGGGGACACAGTTGTCTGGGGCTCAGTCTGCGTTCTGGAAGAGCGCCTGGGTGGATGGGGCCTGTGCCCAAGGGCTGGAGGCCGCTCCCAGCGCCGCCCCCCCCCCCCCCCCCCCCCCGGCGGGCACTCACCTCGGCCTTGACGCCCCTGAGCGCCTCCTGCAGCAGCAGCGGGAAGCCGCGCACCTGCCGCTTCAGGCTGTTGTAGTCCTGGGTGAGCGTCCGCAGCGCCGGCTGCAGCGTCAGCAGGTTGGTCCGGACGCCTGGGGAGCGGGCGGGCGGGCGGGCGGGGTGTCAGGCGCACGCATGGGGTGGGGGCTGCAGTGGGGGGGGGGGGTGGCAGGCCGGGGCCCGGGGCCTGGGGGAGGGGGCCTCACCTGCCAGGTTCTCATGCACGGCCTTCATCTCCACCTGGGCCCGGGCGAAGGCCTCCTCAATGGCCCGGTTCTTGTCCTCCTCCAGGGACTGCATCTCCTCCAGCATCTGCCCGTGCGCCCGCTCCAGCTCCGCCTCGTACATGGCGATCTGGCGGCCGAGGCCGGAGGCTCAGTACACGGGGCGGGGTGTGTGTGTGTGTGTGTGTGTGTGTGTGTGTGTGAGTATGTGCACCAAAAAGAAGCCCTGTTTCTTCTTATAACCCTCCCCCGACACACACCTGAACACACGCACACGCACAGGAGAGGGGCAGGGTGGACACCTCTCCCCCCACGGAGCCGTGAGCTCCATGCAGCTATCTCCCTGTGTTGCTCCGGCACCGGCCCGGGTCCGAGCACATGATAGGTGTGCAGCCCCCAGGGAGCGCGGGGCTATGACACTGGCTAGAGCTCCCTTCTGAGAGCGGGTGTGCGGGGCCCTGGGCCTTTGTGAGCAGAGCCTCCTGCGGGTCGGCCCCTGAGCCATACAGTGAGTGTGATCCCATCACTTTACAGATGAGGAAACGGAGGCTCCCACCAAACCGGCCCTTGTTCCCGCGGTCGGCGGGGAGAGGAGGGCCCGGAGCCCGGGGCTGTGGCCTCTGCTGCGGGCACGCCCTGCCCCATGTCCATGCGCCCCCCACGCGCACCCCCACACACACCCCCGCGGCCCGCACACCTGTGCCCTCAGCTGAGCCGTCAGCTGGTGCGAGCTCTGCAGCTGCTGCTCCATCTCCTTCAGCACCTGCCTCTGCATGGCCACCTGCTCCTGCAGCTGCTGGTTCCGGGTCTGGGACTCGCTGAGGGCCTGCTTGGTCTTGGACGACTCCACCTCCACCGTCTTGATGACGTACTGCGGGCGGGCGAGGGAGGAAGGGAGGGGAGCACGGAGTGTGAGTGTGCCTTGGGCCTCGCTCCGAGGCCCTGAGACTCCCTGGCCTGCGGAGGGGACCCTCGGGGACATCCCACTAAGAGCCCCTGAAAAATACAGAGACGCGGCGAGATCCTGGCTTCCCCAGGGCTGCCAGGGCCTCCCGGAGTCTCCTCCTCTTTTTTTTAAAAAAAATATTTTATTGACTTTTTTACAGAGAGGAAGGGAGAGAGATAGCCAGAAACGTCGATGAGAGAACATCGATCAGTTGCCTCTTGCACACCCCTCACTGGGGATGTGCCCGCAACCAAGGTACATGCCCTTGACCGGAATCGAACCTGGGACCCTTCAGTCCACAGGTCGACGCTCTATCCACTGAGCCACAACCGGCCTTGGCGAGTCTCCTCCTCTTAAGGAGCCACTCCGAGCCCCGCTATGGCCCCGGCCTCGGCCCAGAGCAGAGGAGAGCAAAGATGGGGGCGCCCAGCGCTACCCTATGTCCTTGCCTGGCCTGCGGTGGGCATCTCAAGCATCAGTTGCCGGATGCCTACCACGTGCCTGGCCCTGGGGAGCAAGAGGCAGGCCAGAGACTGGCTGAGTGCAGACCCAGAGTGCCGCCTTCACCCCTCAACACCCGCTCCTGCGTGCCAGCCCTGCCCCTGGCACCGGGGCCCACGTGATGGCGGAGGCCCAGCCCGGGCACCCACCTTGATGGGCGGCGACTGGGCCCGCAGGCTGGCGATGGTCTCATGGCTGTCGCGCAGGCGCCGGCTGAGCCTCTCCTCCTCCTGCGCCTTCTCGGCCAGGCAGTCCTTGAGCCGCAGCTCCACCTCGGCCAGCCGGTCCGTCTTCTGCTGCACCTCCAGGTTCAGCTCGGACAGCAGGCTCTTGTTCTCCGCCGCCTCCAGCTGCAGCTGCGCCAGCCGGTCCCGGAGCTGGGCGCTCTCCTGCAGGCGGGGGACGGGCCGGGGCCCGCGTCAGGCCGACGGGCAGGAGGACAGGCCCATGGGGTCCCCGCGAGGAGCTGGCGCCCGTTAGGAATGGGCCCTCGGGGAAACCCCAGGCCCCGTGCCCACCTGGCTGTGCTCGCAGCCCGCGCAGGGGGCCGCCGCCGGCTTCGCCCGCAGCTCCTGCAGCTCGGCCTCGCAGCGCCGCATCTCCTGCCTCAGGCGCTCATTCTCCACCATCAGCAGGTCTCGGTGCTTCTCCAGGTCCGTGCCTCCCTGCGGGGTCAGCCCGGGGGGCATGTGGCCAGGGCCCGTCAGGGGGGACCGAGGGGGGCAGGCACAGTGTGTGCAAGGGGTAAAGGGATGGGGACAGACAGACAGAAGGAGAAAAGAGGAAGGCAGGCGAGCGAGGGAGAGGAGGGAATCAGGAGATGAAGGTGAAGACAGGAGAGAAAGATGGAGAGGGCGGTGAGACAGGAACTGCTGCGGCAGCACCCTGCCCCCATCACCCCCATCATCACCCTATTTTCCTGAGTGTGAAAGTCACAAGTCCTATTTATACGGAGTTCACACTCCTGCCTGGAGTTCACACTCCTGTCTTACGTGGCAGGGGCGTCACGTGACCTCAGAGGGCCTGAAACAGGACGCTGCCCCACTTGGGGTTGCTCAGGCTCACACCCCTCACCCCACATCTGGAGGCCAGATTGGGCACCAGATCCCCGCCCCCCGCTGCCCCCCCCCCCAGGGATGCGTTGGGGGCCTCACCAGCTCCGACCGGAGGCGGCTCACTTCCTGGGCCTGGCTGATGAGCTTCTCCTTCAGGCTCTCCACCTGCCGGCACAGAGCCGGGGTCACCATGAGCCCTGCTCCCCCGCAGCCCACACCCAGGCCTCGGCCCAGCCCTCCCTGAGTCCGAGCATCGGGCCCCACCTGGGACTCAGCCTTCCGCACCCTCTCCCACCCAGGACCCAGCGGCCTGAGCTCCCCGGCGAGCCTGCAGGCAGGCGCAGCAGATGCCGCGACCCCTGCCCCCTCCCAGCTCAAGCCGGGGCGGCTCGGCGGGCGGCGCGAGGGGCTGCCCCTCAGGACGCGTGCCTGGCACAGGCCCCGCCAAGGCCTGCGCCTGCTTCTGCATCCGCAACTTTCTATTCTTTCCTCTTAAAAGGCTCCCCGGGCCAAATCCGGTTTGGCTCGATGGATAGAGCGTCGGCCTGCGGACTGAAGGGTCCCGGGTTCGAATTCCGATCAAGGGCATGCACCTTAGTTGCGGGCACATCCCCAGTAGGGGGCGTGCAGGAGGCCGCTGATTGATGACTCTCTCTCATCAATGTTTCTAACTCTCTATCTCTCTCCCTTCCTCTCAGTAAAAAATCAATAAAATATATTAAAAAACAAACAACAACAAAAACAGATACATTAAAAAAAAAAAAGGCTGTGTAAACGGTAGGCGCTAGGAAGCCAGGGCCCGTCCTTGCCCAGCCCCTGGAACATTCCATGTTGAGTGGTTCCCGGTGAGGCTGCCAGCGAGCAGGGCACACCTGGACCCGCGTCCACCCCAGCTCCCAGCCTGCCCTGCAGGAGCTGCGGCTGGGTGGGAAGGGGGTGGGCACCCCTTCCGGAGGTGAGGTGACCTGGCCCGGCGGGAGCCCTGGGTGGGGAAACCAGGCCCCCAGCGGGCAGATCCCAGGATGGCGACCCCCCGGGAGCCGACCCCCAGCTGGCCGCAGACCCTCTCCTCGGCCAAGAACCCAGCATGCACACAAGCACGTTGACTCGGATGTGAGCACGTTTGCAGTTTTCCCTGCAGAGCATTCTGGGAAGCGCACCCCACGCCCTGGACTCACCCTGAGGGGGGTCGGGGTGTGCCTTTCACAGACGGCGATGGAACACTGTGTTCCACTGCCAAACCGCAGGTGACCAAGCCCCTGCCTCCAGGGGCCGCCAGGTGAGGGGCCGTGTGGACTGGACCCCCCAGGCCCCCTGCAGGAGGCAGCCACCGTGCACCGGTGGACGGGGCGGGGAGGACACAGGCTCGGCGTCCCCAGCCTTCCGACCTTTCCAGAGGCCAGACCCTGGGGTTTCCAGGGTGCGTGTGTGTGTGTGTGTGTGTGTGTGTGTGTGTATGTGAAAGCTCCCGGCCTGAGTGGCTGAGGGGCCACCACCCGTCTGCGGGCATCAGGACCGGTGCTCAGGCTTCCAGGCCCGGAGCAGGCGGCTGGACCACGTGTCTGTCCGGCCTCTGCCTCCCCGAGTCGGTGGGGGAGGAAGCCGGCCTTGGGCTCCACCCATCTCTGAGGCTGAGGCCCTGACCCAGCGCCATCACTCATGGTCGGGGACAAGGATCCCAAAACACAGGCCCAGCCTGGCTTCCCAAGTCCTTCGGGTGGACAAGCTCAGCCAGGAGAGCCTGAGGGTCCATTCCTACAGCCCCCCTCCCCCCCAGCAATGTGCTGGGCCATGGGCCACGCAGGTGGCAAAGCTCGTGCCACTCTGTACGCTCCCGACGCCCCGTCTGCCAAGAGCCTGATGGGAGGGGTGCTCAGCGCCTCGGCCCCACAGGCCAGCGGCCGGCACACCCATCCGTCCACAGAGCCACCTATCAGCAGGACGACGATCGAAGTTTCTTCGGAGAGCCACGTTTTGTAAACTTAAACTTCTAACGCCACTTCTTTCAAACAGACTCGCCCAGGCCGTGGTGTTTTGTGGAAGAGCCACCCTCCAGGGGCCAAAGAGCCGCAGGTGGCTCGCGAGCCGTGGTTTGCGGACCACGGCCACGGGGGAACGAGGAACCGTTTGCACCAGGCGGTGTTTCCTGCCTGCGCCACAGAACTGGGGGTCCCCCCCGAGCGCCCACCGTGGGGCACACAGACCGGCGTGCGGTCGGTAGCTGTTTACCGGGAGCTTCAAATGACACAGAGAAACGTGTCCCCACACACACAGAGAAAACCCGAACCATCGCCGTGCGAGACGGACCACAAAGGGGAGGTCCCTGGACAACAGAACGGTGTGACCGATGCTTTACGCTTCTCGGTTATTATTATTTTTTTTTAAGTCTCAAAGAATGTGTATGCCTCTTGCACGCCCTTCACCCTAAAACAGGCGGCTCTATTTCCCTTTGGAAGGTTGGGGCCCCCTCCCCCCTCCGCAGTGTCCTCCCCCAGAAGTCGCCCCGGCACGGCCCATTGGTGAACGGGCGGCCCAGACAGGTGTGTCCTCGGCGCCGGCTGGGTGTGCTCTGACCTCGCTGGTCCCCAGCGCGCTGCCTGGCGCTCAGACTCGACGCAGCGGAAGTGGGGTTTCCCAGCATTTACGGGGGGGGGGGGGGGGGGGGGAGGCTGGATGCACACCTGCCACCCGCCTACTGCCAGGCCCCAGCCTCCTTCTTGCATCACAATCGGAACCCTGGGTGCTCTGGGCTCTGCCTATAACTCCGAGGGGCACCCAACACGCAGGTGCCTACCAGGGGGGCTGAGAGCCGGGTGGGGGGCCAAGGGAGGGGCTGTGAATGACTCTGTGGTCCGAGTGTCAGACGCCCAGTCACCCCCTGGTGTATCCAGGGCAGCGGGGGGCACAGCTCCACACCGGGGGTGGCTGGGCAGGTGCGAACCCTCCATGGGGTGGGTGACAGCACCCGGGCAGGCAGGCAGGCAGGCTCCTGTGGGGGCTGGGAAATGAGAGGCTGCCCCACAGGGGTCTGCTTCGGGAAGGCCAGGGGCGAGGGGAGGTGCCAGGAGGCCCTGAGTTAGGGAAACAATGAGCAAAAAGAGACAGAGGCACCCAAAGGACCTCAGATGAGGGCAGCCCCCAACTCTGCCCTCACTGCTCTGGACCAGCGGGCTCAGAGCAGTGAGGGCAGAGTGTGGGGCTGGGGGTGAACCTCACCAGAGAGAAGGGACCGACTGCCCGGGAGGGAGCCCCAGAGGCACCCTCTGTGTGCGCCCACCATGGCTCTCCGTCATCGGTATGAAGGGGGAGGGGCCTTCTCTATCACCAGCCCCAGGCCCAGCAGGCGCCCAGCACACAGTAGGTCCCCATCACTGCCTCAAACACCTGCCTGGGCAGCCAGCGCACCCCAATGCAGAGCGGCGGGACGAGGCAGGCTCCCGACGGGCGGCTGTGGGGCTCCAGGCCCGCTGGATGTCACCCCCAGGGTGGAGGAAGGGACCAGGCTGGCCATGGACCGCACAGGTGTCAGCCAGAGAAACTGAGTCACGGGCCTGGTGCAGAGAGCCGGGGTCTGATAATTACATCTCCGGGGCCACCCTGCGCAGATCTGTTTTCCCAGCTGCCCCCCATCAACGCCAACAGCCCGCTGTTCGCCTCCTGCCTCGCTGGCCCGGCCTCAGCTGCCTCCTTAGGGAAGGAAGGCTCCCGGAGCCAGGAGGGGCGTTACTAAGCTGGGGAGGGGAGAGGGCCCGGGAGCCGTTGGGCCTCGGGAAGACAGCCCAGAGGCCAGAGGGGCAGCCCCAGAGAGAGCCCCACGCTGTCCCCAACACGCTCCCTCTCCCAGGAGACCCGGCTCCGGGCTCCGTGACCTCTGACCAGGCCTGGGAGGGGTCCGTCCGGCCCTGCCTCCACTGGGGGGCAGTGGGAAGCATGGACCCCCAGGCCAGAGGGGCCAGGTTCCAATACAGACACCACCCTACCCTCCGGACAACCGTGGTCAGGCTCGGCTTCACCCCAGCCCCTGGGTTTCCTCCTCTGTCTGCTGGGCCCCGGCTCCAGGGACGCCCCCAAGAGGAGGGGGAGCTTGAAGCCACCAGGACATCACCAGGGAGGGCCATCCTCTGTAGCCACGGCCGCCGTGGTGGCCAGACCAAGCCCTGTGGCCTCTGTGGCCTGGGTCAGCCAGGTGCTCAGGGACTCAGAAGGGCACCTTAGGCCCGAGTGCTCCCACAAAAGTCTCCATCCTACACCCCCCCCCCCCGGGGGGGAGGCCCGGAAGGTCTCCTGCAGCCTCACGGGCCCCATTCGCTGGGTCGGCCTCAATGGCGGGGCGGGGTGTCGTCATAACAGCAGCTCTGAATCCCCTAAGCCTGAGGCAGGGACCCCTATTATGCCCATTTCACAGGGAGAAACCTTGAGGTTCCAAGAGATCAAGCCTTGGTTAAGCAACTTGCTCGGGGTCACCCGCCCACCAAGGGGCAAACCTAGGACTGTAACTCAGTCCCCGCCACCAGGCTGACCCCCACAGCCCTCACCCGATGTTTTTGTTTTGTTAATCCTCACCTGAGGATCGTTCTTTCATTGATTTTTTTTTTTTTAAGAGAGAGTGGAAAGGAGATAGGAAGGGAGGGAGAGAGAAACATCGACGTGAGAGAGAGACATTGATGGGTTGCCTCCCCCATGCGCTGGGGCTGGGGAACAAGCCTGCAACCCGGGTCCATGCCCTTGACCGGGAATCCAACCCGAGACCCTTCGGTGCGAGATCCGATGCTCTAACCACTGAACCAAGCAGCGCCCTCACTCAACCACCCTTAACACCGCCTGCCGTTCAGGAAGAGCCGCGCTCACACGCGGTGAGGCTGGGAGCCAGGCACCACGGCGACGAGGTGGAGGGACCCCGAGACGGGCTTTCCTTAGAGGGTCAGCGTGGAGGAGGCCAGGAAGGTCACCGCGGGTCAGGCCACAGCAGGAGGGACCCTCACAGGGCACAGCGCTGTACAGCTCGCCATCCCTGTTCCCGTCCACGCTCACTCCCGACCTGCCCGGCAGCCTCGAAGCCACACTCTCGGCCTGTGACTTCCTGTGGCTGCGCGGCCAGCGCGTCGCAGAGCCGCCCGGACCCGACTCCCGCCCCCGGATCCAAAGCCAAACTCTTCCCTGGGATG